ACGTTCGTTCGCCTATCTTGACTTCATGAATGCTTAAATGGGTATCATCGCTGAGCAAATTAATGGCTTAATGCAAGGTCATGGGTACGGAATGATGAGGGATGGCAAAAGAGGCTTCTTCTCTATCATCCTCCAAGTGTCCATGCCCCCTAAACTGACGACTTCAGTGTTGTTGGTCGCATTTCCAAATATTTTTAGGCCTCACTTATCATTCCTACCTCGCTGGCCAGCTGTAGGTTTGCAGCTGCGACAACGCCAAGACAGAAAACCGCCCATGTAGATTGTACACTAACCGTTGCATTTCCAAACTTCACACAGAATATAGGTGTGCCAGTGTCCGGCTGTCTGGTCTGTGGAATTTTACCTTCGTTTTTGCAGTTACCTAGCGATTGATAACGGGAGTTTCGTGAAAGTATGTAATTAGTTGCTCATACCCTATCTGCAATGCTCTGCTGCTAGTTTGAGTTTGTTTCTAACCAAAGAGCTTTCTCAGAGCCCTGATCTGACAACCTCTTCCGTAATTCCTTTGGTTTAATGCCTAAAGTAATTTGTTGCTGCCATAGATGATGGTCTCGTGAGATGGTACTTTTCTCAGAATGCATTTTTAGAGCTAACTTTGCAGAAGAGGGACGCAACTTTAGCATACTGCAATCCGAGCTCATCCACCGACTTCAATTCAGTTAAGTTTTTTTAAGAAAAATATGGGCAAACACCCTTGAACTCTCTATTGGTACACATTAATAAGGAAATATCTCGCGCATTCGATCATTTGAAAGAAGTCTTTTACATACTTGTAGCGACTACTCACTTGTTCCAAGTAATACAATCACATGGGGTGATGTCAGTCAACACGAGCCAGCAGGTGTAACTGAGCAAAAAGGGCAGATGGTGAAAAAACTCCCAAGGTATGGCTCAGAATGTAAAAATATAATGGCATTTGTAGTTTTTTTAGGAGAAAAACTGTCGTTCGTGGAGAAAGTATGTGAAAGATAGGACCGGCATGCTGCTGTGAATGTTGGCGGCAGCCTATGATAAATGATGCCTTAATCTGAAAGGCTGCACGGAGAGGAGCCCGCAGATTCACGATAGCATCCCGAAGAATCGGAGATGCGACCATGATACGCCTTAGCTGTGAAAATAACGGAGGAACACACCACGAACGTGACAAAACCGCGTAGCCTGGGAACATAGGTGCGGTAGAGGTGACTGCAGACGCGATCATTGCAGTTTGCGTAGTGAGAAGGAGACATCGCGAAGTTAATGGATTATGCAGGCTGACAAAATACTTTCAGTAAATAGCAGTACTACTTAAAACTGCCTATAAGTATATATTTACAGCATTTCAATGATTGATTTCAATGTTTGATTTCAGAGAACACCTATTTTTTCATTTGACGTGGTGACACGTAAGGCTATGCTGGTTAAGCGTTGTCTATTCCTTTTAGCTCCGGAGGCACATTTGGTTATCGCTAGGGACAACAAAACGACTTTCCTAACAACTGAAACCCAGCCAAAATGCCAATGGTCTTCTGAGTGGATGAACAAGCACAGCATATTTAAAGTAACTGGCACTGCTAGCAGCAACTCCGACGGCGCTGTCGAGCACCGAACCATGGTTTGCGCCTACAGTAAAAGCAACCTTAAACGGAACGCCACCTACGAGGTTGCTATTGTGGGTATGTAAGATGTTTCTGTTTCCCCGCTTTACCGCCTGCTCGCGCAATTGTGCTTTAATCGGTGAAAGGGCACGTCTGTGGTTGTGCTGGGAGCCTAAATGTTGTTCTGATTTACAGATACGCGCAGAAGAACTTGTCTTCTCCCTCTCTTCTTTTTATAAACCTTGCGTGTTCCTGCGTCAAAACTGATTATGTCCCCAGCTTACGTGTGAGGAAGAAAAGACAGAACAGGATAACAGATAGTACTTTACTGTTACTAGTTTTGCTTTTAAATCAGCGTTGTCTTCTGTGTATCCGTCGTTGGCCTCATCTCGGCAGCTTGTCCTGTGTCCCTAGCAGCAGAATTTCGGGTCGTCGATAGCGGGTTTCGGCAACAGAGTGCGCCTTTTATTCGCAGCGTCCTATCTAAGGACCAACAGCCTTTGTTCCCCCATTGACCTCTCTGCATGCAGTCATCATAGGGTGTCTGCAGTCGCGCCCTCAGTGACGCGCGCATGCGCATGTGTCCTTTCGTGGCCTCAGAAAGTGGCC